TGACAGCTGTGATTTTCAAGGTCAGTAGAGCAAAACCACCGGAGGGGCTATGAATGAAAGATGAAGTCTTTACACTCTAGTTAATGAATCTCTTTTTGCTGCATCTCTTCTCAGTGGGCGTAATTTCTCGCCTTGCGGAGTGTCCATAGGTTTTCTTCTTGACCCCGTTCTCTGCAGAAGAAACTCTTTCTTGACACGGTCTCTCCAAGAGTCACATCTGTCTTGCTGATTATTTTCCTGTAGAGCACTATTTTTTTCTCACCGAGGGTCAGTAACTGCAATGTCCTTACGTTCTTTTTGAGTACTTAGCTCCATAGTGAAGTAACCTCTTTGTTGCTTGTCACATGAGGCTTGCGCCTTACATTGACTGGGGGGAAACTATGAGTACTTTGCATGTTTAACCTTGGGTCTCAGACATTAATGGAAAGCATGGAACAGTTTCTTGGAAAATCAATTAGGTTGCCTAGTAAGTAGTTCCACAGTGTTATGCATTAGAATGGCAGCGAGCCCCACCAGCTCCCCACCGAAGGTCAGTGCCTGCCGTCTTCTGAAAATTTCCACTAGGTTTTACTTGGAAGGGTTCCACTTGGCCGGATCAGGGTTTTTCAATGGCTTTACATCAGTCTCCAAGCTGGGCTTCAGTTTTTTCATTGTAAAAGTGGATTCTCCCAAATCACACTTCTGTAGTAGTTGATGACTCTAAATAGGTAATGCTTATTTTGTTTCTTTGAATTAAATGGGAAAGTTGATGTGTAACTTGGCAAAATCCTGGGTTTTGTTTGGCTCTCTGTTGCCTTTGATCGCGTTTATCCTGACAACCTAATTGTTTTCCATTTTAAATATTCTTTTGTAGAGGAATGTGATATGAAAGCCTTATTATATCCCTGCCAAAACATAACATAGCCTTTCTGTTGTTAAGCTAAGGGATTCAGGGTGACTCGCATATATATAAGCTGGCTCCTCCTGCTCTGTTGTATGTGCTTTTAACCAGGAACGAACTTCTTTTAAAAGTGTGCTGCTTGTTCTGTGCTGTGGAGTCGGTTCCACTCATAGCAACCCTGTATAGGATGGTAAATCTTCATGGGAGCAGACAGCCTCATCTTTCTCCCTCGGAGCAGTTGGTGGGTTTAAATTGCTGATCCTGTGGTTAGCACACAGCCCATCGTGTAACCCGCTCTGCTTAGGGCTCCATGTTGTGTTGTGTGCTAGAGTTCTAATTTCCCACCCGAATAACGAGTCTAGTTCCCAGCAGCACTGTTTTACTGGATGTCTCCAGTGTTGATGTCAAAACTTCAAAACTTACAATCTTGCAGCTGTTCTGTTTTTTTTTTTTTTTACAAATACTGACATAAACATGTGGTGGTGCTAGTGTGTGTGTATTAATGTGCTGGACTGTTTGGGGTCCAGGGTGTTCTATTCAAATCTCGAATGCCTAATGTTTTTGTCTTAGAATTCGAGGCTGAGAGACATCTAGTCTGGTCTAGGGGGATACCCAGTGTATAATGAAAAGAGCATTGGATTGGGAATCTGGAGACCTGGATCAGAGCTAGCCCTGACCTGCTTTGAGACCCTTGCAAGCTTTCTTTTCAGATAAAGTAATAATAATAATGCATGTTTAAGGAAGCGCTATTCTTAATAGCCAAAGGAGTAGGAACAACCCACAACTGATGGTTTAACAATGCAAGATTTATCCTACAATGGAATATTGTAATCTGTTGAAGTGTTGAAGCCTGCCGTGCCCTAGATGAGCATCAGAATCATGCTAAGTGGAAACAGCCAGTCACAAAAGGCCGCAGTATGATTTCTAGGAAATGTATAGACAGGAAACAAAATTTGTACTTTCCTAGAGCTGAGGGAGGTGTTAAGGTGGAAAATGGAGAATCATAGCTGATGGGTTCAGGATTTCATTGTGGACTGATGTTCTAAAATTAAAATATAGGATATCTGAACACCCTGCAAATATAAGAAAAACCATGCTGGATACTTACTGAGATATAATTGAAATAAAATTCATGTTGTATACTTTACAGCATGAACTTTATATCAGTTATATCTCAGTAAGGGGTTTAAATTCTAAGCTTTTTTCTGGGATCTCATCTAATTTATTTTATAATAATGAGGCCTTATGAGCTACTGTACAAATCTCCCAGCCACTTCCTGGGAGGAAAATGAGGTAAGCTGCTCCTGTAAAGATTTACAGTCTTGCAAATTCTGTATGGTCACTTTGGGTTGGAATCAACTCCAGGGCAGTGGAGTTTTTTGTGTATATTGTTAGGATGATTTTCTAAAATAACTGTTTGTAGTACACCTGATTTTCCACTAGAGGACAACAAAGCCTGTTTGTAGCCATTTCCTACCTATTCTCAATAAACACCAAGAACTGAACCTAAAATTCATACTTTCATTTTCCATAGAAAAAAACTGGGCTCCTCTTGCAATAGAGACTCTGTAATACTATTTGTCAATGTTAAATTTCATTAGGGAACACCTATAGCTGTGGACCTCAGATTTTACTGAGAAGCACGTGGAAAAAGGGAGGAAATGATGTTGTATTTCAAAGGCAGATGATGAAAATACCTGCTGTGGAGGTTAGAGTGAGGAATGAGTCAGTTTCTACTAGGACTTTATAGCATTCTCTTAAATACAAGGCTGCTTCAAAAAGTTGGTGGGAAAAGTCCTGTGTCTTTCAATTTCATTTTTCCAGAAGTTTTTTGAAGCCCACCTTGTAAATGTCTTGACATATTTCTATTTCTTACACATGCATCTCTACTTCTCTGTTTGTTGGGGAAGAGAAAGGATATGATTGCCTGTCCTCAGCCCTCACCCCACGCTAGTATGTAGCCCCTAGCTTCAGCGCCCCTGCAGCTGTCTTTGTCCCATGGCAGCTCTGTTTTCTAGCCAGTGGCTTCCAGGCTAAAGGCCTGTCCTTTAGGAGGAAGACTGTATTACTTAAAATAGACAGCAACCCTGCTGATATAGTAGTTAACCACAAGGTCAGCAGTTCAGATCCAACAGCCTGTATGTAGAAGAAAGAGATTGGGGACAGCCCTCCTCCATCTTATAGGGGCTCAGTTGACTGACGGGCAAGGTTTGGTTTGGTTTGGTTTGGTTTGGTTGCCTAGGGCAGGACAGTCAAATTCAGCTGTGGTGTGGTCAGTTAATAAGCCTGCTGAATTGTTAAATGTAGCCAGACAGGGCCTTGTTCAGTGAGATGAGCTAAGCAATATGACCTCCACAAGATAGAGGGCCCCTGGTTGTCGTGCTGTAGGGTGACCACTGGACTTCGAACTATAAAGTCGGCAGTTCAGACCCATAGCTGCTCCTTGAAAACCCTGTGCAGGGTTACTGTGAGTTGGAACTGACTCACAACAGCACTTCACAAGTAGCTTCTGATGAAGCGTAAACTTTATCTTTGTTGTATTTTCTCACGAACAATGATCCCACCTCAGTTAACATTTGGTTACATGAATGCTTACCTAATTTGTATGCTAGAAATGGTTTGTAAACATTAAAAAATCATCTTTGGACTAATAAAACAGTAATAAAAATGAATTGGCCCCAAATGTCATTTCTAAGGAAGAAAACTCCTTAGAATGCATATTTTTTAGGGGAGATGGGTGTATTTAAAACCACTGAAATTCCTGATTATACTTCCCTCAACCTAGCTCTGTTTTCTTTGGGCTGATTCGTAATTAATATGTACTATCTGATGGAGATGGAGAACCCATTGCTGACATACTCACTACCCTGACTTGAATTGTTTAGTTAAAAGCTGGTGATATAGTACAAGAGAAAACGTTTATTTTGGATTTTATTTATTTATTTATTTTAAATGTTATATTGTGAATTATGTGATAGTTTGCATGGGAGAACATTAGTTTTACATTCATCCTATCATATATCGTTTCATTGCCATGGTTACAATCCCCTCCATGCGTCAGCAAACATCAGACCACCCTACAAGCCTGCCCCTTGGTCATCAGCACACAGCACCTCTCCCTCTCTGGGTCTAGAGTCCCCAGCCGCTCCATCTCTCTACGTCATCATCTCTGCCTCCATCTCTGGCGTCACTGCTTCTCTGGGTAGAGTCCCACACTCCGGTCTTCACCCTTGATGGTCCCAGGGACCTCTGCTTCTGGACTGCAAAGTCAACCACCTTTTACTACAAAACGTCTACCTTTACATTTCCAACCCTCACAGTCAGTCCTGAGAACAATTATTCACTGTTGTACCACAAGAGTCCTATCCCCATCTCCTTTCATCAGCACCACCCAGACAGATTGGATACTACTCAATGGAGATTCTACCTTCCTCTGGATCTAGGTTCCCTCTTGAAAGCTTGTAAGCCAGCCACTTCTTGCTTTGTAGCCCCTCACCCCATTTTGGGTAGCCAATGTCCAAGTTGCCCATTCCTGTCTACCCTGTGTATTGAGGGGTGGTGGTGGTGGTGGGAATGATCCTCGCTATAAAGATTTGTTCCATCTTTTGAGCTACTGCATCCATAGGTATTTCATCAGATTACTCTTTTTTTTCCTGAAGAGGAAACTTTTGTATCACACACTTAGTACTTTTACTGGTTGTTGAGTGGCTCACTGGTATAATTTACTAGGTCTAGTCCCAGTATTCTGGGAGTCTGACAAATGATAGCCTGTGAACCAGGGTGGTAGTGACTACGTGACATTGTTGTTCACTCACACTTACAGCACATAGATGGTCCTGAACCTTTGGGTAAACTTCATTCGAAGAGACTTGCCATCCCTCCTGTCCCCTTTCATTGTTTTTTTCACTGTTAGCACATTTTATCACGCTTCAGATCCTTGTTTTTTTTCTGTGAAGTAAATGAGTTAGACTGGAGGAACTCTAGGAGATAAATGTGCTTAGGAATCGCCCGTATCTTCCCCCTTTTCTAGTCCTCCCTTGATCATCATTAGGTGAAGAATCTAGATTTCATGTTTCCAAGGTCATTGTAATAATGTTTGCCTGGTTTGTTGTCTGTTTAGGTTGCATCTGCGCTAGAAAAATGGAAGGCCGCAATCCGTGAAGCTCAGACCTTTTCCAGAATGCATGTTCTACTTGGGATGCTTGATGCCTGTATCAAGTGGGATATGTCAGCAGAGAACGCTAGATGCAAAGTTTGTCGAAAGAAAGGTATTATATTTAGTCTAAAGTTGCTATTGTGAATGTGCCAGTGCAGTGACCTGGGCTCCTCCAGGCCTTCTGTTTATGTAAGTTTGAAGTGTGGAAGAGCAGATTTGACCTTCTCATCTACACAATGCTAACATGGAGATCTGGTAGTGTAGTGGTTACAAATCAGGCTGCTAATCTCATGGTCAGCAGTTCGAAACTACCAGCTGTTCTGTGGAAGATGAGGCTTTCTGCTCCCGTAAAGATTTATAGCCTCGGAAACCCTGTACAGGGTCTCTATGAGTCTGAACTGACTCCACAGCACATAATAACAACACAACGCCAGCAAGTCAGAGCAGGCTTTCTGGTTCAATGTAGTGCAAAAGGAGACAGTTGCTCTCTCCAACCTTTAGCTTTCTTCGGGGAGCAAAATTCATTCATCCAAACGTAACGTTTTTTTATGGTCTCAGAGCTCTAGTCACCTGGGAAGTGAGACAGGTGCAGTAGGTAGGGTGGAAAATGCTCAGGTTAGCACCAGTCGTCCCAGCACCCAGGCCTGCCAAGCAAGCCATTTGAGACTATGGAATGCTTGTTGTTAAGTGCTGTCAAGCCAGTTCCGACTCAGCTACCCAGTATAGAGTTTCCGAGGAGTGGCTGGTGGGTTTGCAGAGGTCTTTCAAATCCCACGTGTGCAAAAGGAATTTGATGGCTGAAATCCCCCATTGGGATTGATTTCTAATGGGTAATGGTATTTTGTGAATTGGGTGTTATGGTTTACTTTCCAAAGATGAAACAAATCTATGTAAAATTATTCAGTTGCTGTAAAAGCTGCTTTAGGAGAGGGAGATGACCACGTTAGGTTACTTTAATGTATTTTTACAAATAAGAAAACAGGGACTTAGAGAATCATGTCCTATAGGAATTGGGAACCGAGGGATTGAGGAGCAGAAATGTAATAGTTTTCAGGGGTGCAGCTACCACTTGGAGTTTAGTACTAAATGTTACTGTCGTATATTAGTCATGGGTAGATTTGGCGTGTCATTCAGGAGACATGAATACTAAATTTCCTATAGTCTAGTTTGTTACATTTCTAAATTAAATGATGTAAAAACGTAAATGTGCAAACAGAAGATTATGATGTTTTTAAAAATGGGATAGTGCTATACTGCTACAGTATTATTGCTCTGCTGTGGCATTTCTGGAGCTGAGCAGCTTTATCCTAGAGTTCAGTGACCAGTGTCTTGCACGTTTATCTCTGCAGGTGAGGATGACAAACTGATCTTGTGTGATGAGTGTAATAAAGCCTTCCACCTGTTCTGTCTGAGGCCCGCCCTCTATGAAGTTCCAGATGGCGAGTGGCAGTGCCCGGCTTGCCAGCCTGCTACCGCCAGGCGCAACTCACGTGGCAGGTGAGAGTTTCTCTTTTAAAGTGAATAGCTACTAGAATTAAGCATCGTTTACTTAGACTGCATGGTTCTAAAGAGCTTGAAGTTCATCTTGTGGCTAGAGAGCCTGATCACTTAAAGTTATCACAGTAGAAACTCAAGGCCTCTGCTTCCACTGTCGCTTAACGTTGACCACACCAGTTTTCACTGCAGCTCACAGTCTCCGTCTTCCCTGGACCGTACCTTCTTCTGAAGTCTGTCTCCCTCTGCTCTTGTTTTCCACTTCTTCCTTCTTTGTAATTATTTTTTGTCACCACCCCCTGCTTTAAAATCCTGTTGAACTCATTGCTTTCCTTACTCATGTCTGATGTTTGACTTTTTTTTATCATGATTGATGCCAACATGGACATGTTCTCTCGGCCATTCTCTCCATGCCCATTCCTTTGCCAAATATTACTCAGTGTCAGATGGCCAGGGAAGCAATTGTCTCTCCATTTTTAATGATCCCTGACGTCAGCTGGCCCTCCTACAGGTCTCTTGTGGGTTTTTTCAGTGACCTTACAGCTCTTCTTTTTCACCTGACCTCATCCTCCTCTAACCCATCAGCTGGTTGGGTCCTATCAGAATGATTTACATAAGTCAAAGATCTGCTTGGGTCACTTTCCTGTTCAGAAACTTTTCGTTTTTCCACAACCACCAGAATAAAATTCAGACAACCTTCCCCAGCTTTGGGGCAGCCTGTTTTTAGACGTTCTTGCTCCGACTTTTGTGCGTTTCTTACAGACTGCTCATTGTTCATTCTTGTGTTCTGCGCTTTCTCCTCGCTGGGAGTATTTCCTCTTCCTAGAGCTCACAACTGGATAAACTGCACATGGCCAGCTAGAACTTTTTTGAGAAACATTCTCAGAATTAATTGTTCCTCCTCTCTGTTCCACTCAGTGTAGCTCTCTAAAACACTGCTCAGTGCACCTGCCATTATGGCTGGTCTCTATATACCTTCACAGTGAGCAGGCGAGGGGCCCAAGAGGAGACATGGGTCTTTGTTTAAGAACCGAACTCCAGTAATGTCAGATATAGGGACTTATAAAGAGGGGATATCAAATATTTGCCCATTTAATACCAGGTTTTCCACATTATGATATTTGAGGTGTAAAAAGACAACACATAGGCACTCTGGCTTGGCTTTTTTTCAAGAGGCCAGCACTGGTTGATCCTGAACCCCACCTTGCAAGTATGACTTGGATATTTCGCACTCCATTCTAGCTACACTTAGATAAGGCTTGCTTCTCTGCAGTGGAGGGGCTTTGGACCAGCTGCTCTGGGCAGGGATTACCATTGCTTTGATGTTAGGATCACCTGCAAGCTGTTTTAGCTCCTGGAAGGCCATCAAGGTGGAGTAACACCTGTCTGGGCTCTGTTTATCCTTTCAGTGTTCCCCCCGCCCCCCACCCCCGACTCGTGGACAGCTGTTAATACCTGTAGTATGACATTATCTGGTTGTTTTCTGAGACAAAAGGAATAGTGTTTGGTTTGTGAGGGGGCTTGTGGTTGAATTTGGTCTTGATCTCTGATGCCATTTGGGCCCTGGTGGAGAGCTGGCTTTTTGAAGCTTAGGTTTTCATTTATTTCTTGTGTTTTTGCCTAGATCCAGGTCCCTTGTCTTTCCCCCGCCCACCATCCCCCAGGTCCAAATCATCCAGTTTTATAGCAAGTCTGTTGTCTGTGCAGAGAAAAAGTTGCCTAGATCCGTGTAGAACTTGCACCTTTCTCTGGGCCACTGTGGATTAGAACCGAGTATCTGTGTGCTCTTCCCTCCTCACAGGAATTATACTGAAGAGTCTGCCTCTGAGGACAGTGAAGAGGATGAAAGTGAATCGGAGGAGGAGGAGGAAGAGGAGGAAGAAGAAGATTATGAGGTGGCAGGATTGCGGTGTAAGTATTCCGTTTGCCTTCAGAGTTGACCTCAAAGTCTGCGACGCTGACCTGGAGCCTGCCTTGGTAGTAAATCAGTCCGTGCTGCCGTCTTTCTGTCATCCTAGGGCGGTGCCTGGTGTGGCTCTCGTGTTTTCAGATTGGTTTTTCAAGATGCCATTTAACCACCTATCAAGTAGGAGGTTGGCTTGGTTGCAAGAACGTCAACTTCAGGCAGATGTACTTGCTCTGAGATTTAGTGGGAATCAAGGCCCGGAGCGTAACCAGTGCAGTACCAGGGCTCCTCATGTTCAGGGCAAATCCCCAGGTTCAGAACTCTTCATTCTATGGGAACTTGCGACAGCACTGCTTTCCAGGAAGGCTTTTTTCTCTGGTTACAGTGACGTTCTGTACTCTGCACTGTCCAGGGCTGTGTTGTTGTTAGGTGCCATAGAGTTGGTTCCAGCTCCTAGTGCCTCTGTCTCTGTACGACAGAACGCAACCCTGTCCGGTCATGTGTGATTCTTACAGTTGTTACGTTTGAGCCCATTGTTGCTGCCTCTGTGTTGGTCCTTCTCTTTGGGGCAGGGCTCCTTCCTATTTTTTAACCAACCTGTCACTTTCCCAAGCTTGTAGTTCTTCTCCTCCAAGAACTGAGCCCTCCTGACAGCATGTATGGACTGAAGAGCTAGCTAGGTAGCTTTACTAGTTTGAAAAAGTGGCTTTTGCTAAGACTCAGTTATAAGGTGTTCAGGTGAGTTCAGATCTCTTCTTACTACTAGGTGATAACCGCATCATTTGGAATCCTGGTGTGGCGTGCTGTAGGATAAGCACTGGACTGCAAGGTCAGTTTGAATCGCAAGGTTGGAGGTTTGAATCAAAACCAACTCAGTGGCACTTAACAACAAAAATAACGTCAACTTCATGATCACTTCATTGACTTACTGTCCCATGTTCATTTCTCATGAATCTTTGAGAGTATGTCATCTGAAGAGTTAGCAAGATTTTGCTGAACCTTTGAGGAGATGGTACCATTTCCAAGATCATAGCTCTGAACTGCTGTACTTGGTCTCGGGTGAGAGGATGTGGCTTTTTAGGCAGTAGTGCTGCTCTTGAGTCTTCTCAGAGGTCTTTGCACACCTGTCTCCTTCCTCCTAGCCTCTCCCTCATTCTCCAGGGTTATAATTTGCGACTCCTTACTTTCTTTCATTCCTACAAGGTTTCCTTACACTTATTCACCAGGCATGATTTTTCATGTGTTCCCAGCAGTCCATGAATCCTCCATCACAAAGAAACCCTGTTGACCAGAGCCATGATTTGGCTGCATCTTTGTCTGGAAAACGGATTCTGAATATAGCGATGCATTGGTTCCTTTTATTGATTGCTTTTCATTTCCAAGTTGTTCCTCCCTTTCCAAGGAATTGTTTTCCCTCCTGGTTTCTAGAGCCTCCTCTCTTTGCCAAAAGAATCTAGGAAGTATTTTGATACTTCAGAACCCTTTTAGGCCAAAGCATCCAACTTTTTTAGTGGCGACCTCTTGGGTGAATTCTTTGGGAGCATTGTTCCTGTGGACATATGGAGGGAAGTCGGCTACCTGGCACGGAGCACCTGTTGTAAACCTGAGATACAAGGACACTCGGAGGGGTTGGTATTCTTCCTTCCCTCTTCAGGGCTCCCAGGAAGGGTGGCTGTGGAAGAAAGTGAGGCTGGGCCAATCCCAGATTGGATTCAGTCCTTCACACTGGTATCGGCTTTTCTCTGAAAAGACTGGGCATGTTGAATGTAGGGTGCTTTGGAAATTAAGGAAATTCCATCTCACATACACATTCTCTTGGGTGGAGCTTGGGCTCTAGGCGTTCCAGGCAGACTTAGCTAGCATGAGACTGCTCCTCCTCCAGGGATCTTGTTTTTGGGAGTAGTTGAGCTGGGTGGAGTCAGAGGGGGAGCACTGAAGGGATTGGGCTTGGGACTAGCCTCCCCGGAGGTATATGGGCTGTGGAAGGGACCATACCTCGTCTGTTGCTGCCTTTGGAATGCAACGTTTTGGTCTTCCCCTGCATCGGTCACAGGAGTGCCGTGTCCTCATACTAAGCCCGTGTTTGCTTCTCCAGACTCCCCCACCTTACCTACCCCAAGGATGAGTTCCTTTCATCCTCTCGGATTCTCGCTGAATCCATTTTTTTTTGTTTTGTTTTGTTTTGCTTTTTTTTTAAACTTTAGTGAGACCTCGAAAGACTATTCGGGCCAAGCAGAGTGTTATTCCCGCTGTAGCCAGGCCTGGCCGACGCCCAGGGAAGAAGTCACATCCTGCCAGGAGGTCTCGGCCAAAGGCCCCACCTGTGGACGACGCGGAGGTTGATGAGCTGGTAGGAATGGTTTTCTACCCTCTCCTGACCCTTCTGTTTCTTCTCCACCCAGCATAGGCTGTCACCAGGCAACAGGTGGGGGCTCCTTTCCCTCTCCTCCCCGTTTTGGAGGTTGCTGAGGCAGATGGGTGGGCCTGTAGGCAGGCAGCAGGCCTGCCCTCCAGGAACAGCTATGTCTGGCATCCCCCTGCTGTAGCCTGCAAAGACTGTCCCCTTCAGTTAGCAGGCCGCCTGCAGCTTGTTAAGGATTTGAAAATAGTCTCCATGTGTCTCCAGTGGACTCCCAGGGGCTGGGTCTCCGCTGTGGGAATGTTAGCAATGCTTCCCTGACTGCCGGGCCTCCTGCTGACAGTTGTTGCCCGAGGGACATGACCCTCTCTTCTGCTCCTCAGTCAGTGTGAGTTTACTGGGTTTGCTCTGTAGGGTTCTTTAGCACTTTAAAGAACAAAAAGAGGCTCTTAGAAATGTGATTGTTTTGAGGATGGGATCAGGAACATAAAGCAAGCTCTGAGGGAGCTGCAACTTCACCTGGCTTCCTGGGAGGGAGACCACTCCTTTTCTGCATGGCTGTTTAGCTCCCATAGGCCTGTACAGAAAGGGGGCTGTACCTCTTGTTTTACTTCCCATAGAACTGCCCTCCCCTCAGAACCGGCTGCTGGTGGTTCATAGGTTCTGTGCTGCCCTTGCCACACGCGTATGTCCCTCAGGGGCCCTGTCAAGCCAGTCGCTGCTACTAGCATGCCAACTGCTGTCTGTCTGTCCTTGGCTTCTTTGATCATCACTCACCAGGCAGGAGGCAAGCGTGCTGACTTGACTGTCACTGTTTGCAGGAAGATGATTGAACTTTTTGCCTCTCTTTCTCCTTTCCTGTACAGTCACATTTTCTGACCTGGTCCTCTCTTCCTCCTCTCTTGTCTTTGTAATAACGAGTTGTCTTTCTTTGGTGCCAGATGCTTCAAACCAAGCGGAGCTCCCGGAGGCAAAGCATAGAACTACAGAAATGTGAAGAGATTCTCCACAAGCTTGTGAAGTACCGTTTCAGTTGGCCTTTCAGGTGAGTGGTTCCCAAGCATGAAGCACTATGACCAACCTTGTAGCTGGCTAGACCGAAGAGCTTAGGAACAACCCGTCCCTTCCGGGCCATGTCTCAATGGCAGGGCAGTTAGCCTCCCAAACTGGGAAGGGACAGTTCTTAGGACAAAGTGAACACACCTCCTCTCTTCCTCCCATTCTGCCAGGGCGGTGGCTTGAGAACAAGTTGCCTTCCAGGCTGTGCTGCTATCTCCATTGGTTCTTCTCCCTAGGGAGCCTGTGACCAGAGATGAGGCTGAAGACTACTACGATGTGATCACCCAGCCCATGGACTTCCAGACAATGCAGAGCAAGTGTGCCTGTGGGAGCTACCGCTCTGTGCAGGAGTTCCTCACCGACATGAAGCAAGTGTTTACCAACGCAGAGCTTTACAACTGCCGTGGCAGCCACGTGCTGAACTGCATGGTGAAGACAGAACAGTGTCTGGTGGCTCTGCTGTACAAACACCTTCCTGGCCACCCGTATGTCCGCAGAAAACGTAAGAAGTTTCCTGACCAACTTCCTGAAGATGAAGGGGACAGTGAGCCAGAGCCCGTCGGACAGTCCAGGGGACGAAGACCGAAGAAATAGAGAGAGACAGGACCCTGGTAAGGGAACTGAGGCTGAAGGGTGAAGCGGGGAGGGGCGAGGGGAGTGGGGGAGGCTCAAGAGGAAGACGAGCCAGAAAGCGACGGGAATCCATGCTGCTTTTCTAGAACCCGCCCGGGGCCTTCTTCAAGCAAAATCTGCTGTGGCATCTTTATAATGGGTCGATAGTCTCCGCCCAGAAAGATGATGGACACACGAGGCTCTCCCCACTCCCTCCAGCTCCACCCCCCGACCCCTCTCTGAAAGTTTTCAGGAAAAGCCCAAGGGTCTGGCTTTTCTTGGGAGCCCAGTTCCTTTGCCTTCAATCCAAGGTCCCTCCCCCGAGCTCCCATGACAGTGACATGCCCCTCTGGTTCCCACGGAGGGACTCCTCCTGTGTTGTGGAGAGATCAGGGCGAAGCTAGCCCACGGGGAGACGGTGGTGATTTTGTGGCATCTCTAGTGGCATTCAGTCTCGTCTCTATAAGCCCTTGCTCTGTCTCTCCCTCCCTCCCTCTCAGGTGATGGTAGCAGTGAGTGCCATACAGAACTCTATCCACCAGCATCATGAAACACTTATAAATAGTCTTTTGAGTTGATCTTGGCAGAGTGAAGGGTCTTTTCCTGGAGTCATTCCTCAGCACCCCTCCCCTCCATTGTGACAACTCACTCTCCACCTCCACCTCACCCTACCCTCTCAAAAAAGAACAAACAAACAAACAAACAAAATGAAGGCACTTCACTTGGAGACTTGAGTCCTGCTTCTAATCATGCATAAAACCGTTACTTTGGACGGATCTGGCCAAAGGGGTGTTGGAGCCCAGCCCACCCACATACCAGACAAGCTCTTGGGGGAGCAGAAGAAAAGCAGGAAGAATGGAAATGTTTAATTTTTTTAAATTGACTTTTCTAGTTATTGAAAGTTGCTTGTTTCAGCAGTGATCTTGTATAAAGAACATCTTGTAAAGTCTCTCTGTCCTCTTGCTTTGGCACATGTACAGTACAATTTATATGATGATGTGTTTGCTCTACTTTTCCCCATCTTCTCCCTCAGGCCATCCTTGAAGGCTCATCAAGGCACAGAGTGGGGTCTGCTTGGAGGAGGCCAAACCCCCTTTCCCTTCTCTTCCCCCATAAGCAGACTTGGGACTCTGTGTCAGTGGCCGTGGGTGGGGGGAGTGTTGGAACAAGGGAGAACTGTGGCACTTCCCACAGGGAGTCTAGCACTAGTGACATTTCGGCAGAACTTTGTAGTCTGCTTTCCCCTTTTATGTCAGATTTTGATAAAAAAGACAAAACAGGGTTTAATTTTCTTTTCTATCAACTTTAAATTGACAAAATCTGATCATCTAAGCTCTTCTGTAACTGGTTAAAATTAAAGGAAAAGAAGAAATCCACCAAGGGATGGTAATTCATAGAACTGAAAATAGCCTGTAATACTAAGCTTCAAGTTCTGGTCCCTATCTCTCCCCAGCCTCCTCAGCTCCAGTGGCTGGTGGGTGAGTGTACGTCCCTGCCCCCACCTCCTGGTCGGCTTCTGTTGATAGTAAGAACTCCGTGAGCCTACTTACGTTACATCTGATTCTTATTTTTATTTTTTTGTCTTTAATGAGGAAGGGCCCCATTAAGGGTGAACTTGTAATAAATTGGAATTTCAAATAAACATTATGTACCTGTGTTTATAAAGAAGAAAATTCTGTTGAATCTTTATTTGTGTGGTGGATCTGCAGCCATTGACTCTTGGGGTCAAGTTTCCTGTGAAGGCTTGGCCTTGGGACTGAGAATGAACTCTTAATCTTCAGCGGAGGTCAGGTTCATCTGCATCTTCGTCATTGAAGCATGAGTTAGGTCTAGCCTGACCTGGTTGTGGTTAAGTGCTAACCTTTTCTTTGCAGCCCAGTGCTGATCCTACAGCACCACACCAGGAGGCCATCCCAGAAAAAGTTTTTTAAAACATCAGTGGAAACTTCTTAAAAACAAAGGGGAGAATATTTTTTAATGATGGGGATTTATGGGACCCTTAATATTGGGGAAACATCTGACGTGTTTAAAAAAAATTTTTTTTTTAAGGAAAATATAAAACATACACTGAAGGACTGAGGAATGTCATGATTCCCACAAACACTGTACACCGCCAGCTTTCATTGTTATCAGGTGGGCCGTGGGCTGTTGGGTTGCGTTTTCTATGCTGGGATGTTCAAGGCCGGGATGGTTGGTCTGGGTAAGCGATTCTATGTGGCGGCTGAGTGGTGGTTATGAACCCAGTTACTGAGAAGTGAAATGGCCCGTTCTTGACCAACTGTGGATGGGCATTTCAGGAGAACCTAGAGCTCGCCGTGGGGTGTTTGTCACAGACTCCCTGTGTGATGTTGGTGAGTCCTGTGCTTTGAGCAAGACCTCCAGGCTCTGGAGAAGGGAGCTGTGCTGTAGCTGCATACTAATGCGTGCTTTCAGAAGCCCTCGCCTTGTCTGTTCTGTTACTTAGGCGGGTCTCCTAGGCACAGAGGTAGTAAGTGCCTGGGGACCCACTCACCCATCAAGTCCTGGGCAGGGCTCCCTCCACTTAACGCTAGTAAGCTACTGATCTGCCCATGGCCAAGATAATCCATGTTGACCTCTCAACTTGAGGGTGTGTCCTTGGAGTAAGCATTGATTATGAGCTCAAGACTTAAGTTCTGCTAACTCAAGCTACCGGCGCACGTACACAGTGCTACACTTGGAAGACCCAAACGTTTGGCCACTAAGGCCACCAATGGAAGAGGCAGGGGACTTAACGATGCTCATGGCAGCAGATGTTGGTTTCTGAGTTACTTAGGTGTGGCTCTAGTTTTCCTGTTTTCTGGGAGAGTTCGCTTTGGGAGGGACTTTTGCCTCGTCTCCCACCCACTTACCCCAGCATCTCGAGATACAGCCCCTCTAAGTTATAACACCCACTACCCCCACATGCTGAATGAAACTTGGGAGAGGAAGACAGTCTGGACCTACCCATGTAGTAGAAATAAAAAGTTATGTTAGACTTGGGTCTTCTCCAAACCCTTGACCTATGAATGGGGTTCCGAGGAGTGAATGGTGGGTTTGAGACTTGGTGTGGCCCTTTAGGGTAATACGCTGAACTGCAAGGTTCGTAGTTCAGACTTAACCAGCTGCTCTTCGGGAACCCTACAGAGGGTCGCTATGAGTTGGTACCCACTCGATGGCACTTAAGTAAATCTCTTAGAAAGCTGGGTCATTCTGTGAAGCAACTGGTGAATTCAAACTGCTGATCTTGAGGTTTAGCAGCCCAATGGGTAACCTACTATGCAAATAGGACTCATGTAGGTTCAGTGATATGGTGCTGTTTTCTTGGGCTTGGGTATTCACTTAATGTCTTCCTAGGCAGAATCCCCCTCCGGTCAGTTTTCATTCTACTTCCTCTCTTCCCATCCCAAGTGCCCTGAAAGCCAGCCCATTGAGCCCCGTACTGCCCAGCACACAGTGAGGGTGAGCTGGTGCCACTCCTGATACCCTGCCTTGAGCTTCCCACATATGTATCCCAGGTCCCTGGGCTTTGTCTTTTTCTCCAGCCGAATTCAGGCCCTGGTGGTGGTCTTGTGCGAGTAAGTCTATTCTGACTCCTAGTGACCCTGTGTTGGGTTTCTGAGACTGTAAATCTTGATGGGAGCAGAAAGCCTTATCTTTCCTCTCAAGGAGCTGCTGGTGGATTTGAACTGCTGGAATTGTGGTCAGCAGCCCAACTTGTAACATTATGCTGCCAGGATTCCTAGTCTCCTTCATTCTGCTCCTGTAAGCTTGGCCTGTAAACCTAGCCCCTGGTAGCCCCTGTCTTCTCCCACTCCCAAGGGGGAAGGGGCCTCCTTTTCAGTCAGCCCTTTCTGTCTCTCACTCAAGAACCCTCAGGGTATTCAGGTCTCAGGCTTGGTTTGTGGCAGGAGGATTTAGGTGGCACAAACCTTCCCTGGGTAAGACGGTGGGGGGTAGACAGAGGTTAGGGAGTTGCAGGATTCCCCTGGGTGCGTTAAGAAGGGAACCTAGTGGGAAGGGAGTTCCCACAGTCCCCCTCAATCTTATGAACCTGTGGGATGCAGTCTAATTTGTGATAGTCATCCTGTTTTTCTTGTCCCTGTGAGACTGGTGGGTAGAGCAGGACAGAGAATTCAGGTCTGAGAGCCTGGCTTTTGGGGACTCAGTCCTGCTGTTGTTAGGAAGCAGTTCATTTCAGGCACCTGGGCTGTGCCTTTTCCCATTAAGCCCTTTAGCTTGGAAGTGAGTCAGACAGGGTACCTGGACCCTTACTGCTGCCCAGCATTGCCACTGAATGCTGGCTGTGTGTTACATGCCCAGGGATGGAAACCAAGACCTTCATGGGCCTGGAGGCCAAGATGGGACCCAGGAGTGTTGACCCTAAGAGCTGATGGGTTGCTCCAGGACACTCATCCAGCTAGCAGACAGGGGCAAAGTCCCAGCAGCCCTGGGCTCCGGGCATGTAGACATGGGTGCGTTCTGTGTGCATACTACTCCAGGAAGGAGCTCTGCACGTGCCCAGTCTTCACTGTTGCCATCAGTGCTATGAATCTTCACACCAGCCCGAGTCCCCAATCCTTCGGATGCTCCATCCCCAAGCCTGTGTCTGGGCTAACAGGACACACAGATATAGTCCAGGGCCAGCCCCAGCCCAGCCCACCCCACCCAGAGAAGCAAGATAGTGGAGTGAGGCATCCTGGCTGTGGCCTGAAAGATGGAGGCTGTGTCCCCAGGGATTATGAAGAAAAGACAATGAGGTGGAGACAGCAGGAGGCTGTAAGGGTCCACTCCCCTGCAAAACCCCCAAGGAAACCTTCCTTTTATACACAGATGAGGAAAGTGACTTGGAAATAGGAAAACTTACCCATAGGCCCCAAAGAAGCTAGACTAGGCCCAAAGGTGGGGTTCTTGCAGCCCAGTCCCACTTTGGAGCTCAAAGCTCAGGGCTCAGAGGCAGACAACCAGAAGGTATCAAAAGGAGCAGACAGGCAGGGGAAACACATCTACTGACTCACAAACTCACACAAAGTCTGGAATTCCTGCAAAACAGCTGTTCCACACGGAGCTTGCCTCCTGATTGGAGCAAAGCCAGGAGAGGAAGGGCCTGGGCATGAGCCTAGCACCCACCCCACTAAAACTCACAGAGAGTCCTCCCTGAGTCCTCACCCTCCTACCATCCAAACCCCTTCCCAACCCAGAGAGGACTCAATAATGCCACAAAGGGGTTTATTCCAGTCCCAGCTTCCAGAGAAACTCCACAATAAATTACATCATTAAATAAACTCCCTGCTGGATCGCGTCCTCTCCCAGCCCCATGCTGGACTCAGAGCGGGGCTGAGTGGACGCATGAGGGGCTGCCCAGTCCTCAGCCCCCTCACACTGACTTGCCTGATCTTGACAGCCGGGCAGCTGTCAGTCAGCTGTCTCTCCAGGAGGGGGAGGGCTAGAAGGGGGCAGTCTCCACCACTCCAATCCCTAGAGGTGTGTGGGGTTCTCCAGAGAGGGGTCCGCCTTAATCATGTGCAAGACCACAGTGGGGGCCTTGTAGTGACAGTGGGGGCCACGGCCATAGCCCCCAGGGGTCCTGCAGGCCTTGGCCCGGGCCCGGCCAGCTGCCATCTTCCGGTGGCACAGGCTCTGCCAGGTCTGGAAAGTCTTAGAGCTCCAAACCCAGACTCCACTGGTGATGCCCACCACCAGCGACATGAAGATTTTCAGCATAAAGACAGCCACAGTGGGCACCGAGCCCCCGGGCAAAGAGCAGTCCCTCCGGCCTCCAGGCACGGGCGCTGCTGTGCACTGCTGCTCCGTGGCCCGAAGGCGCCAGAAGTCCATGTTGAGGCGCTCGTAGACGTAGCAAACAATGACACAGGTGGCGGGCACTGTGTAGAGGATAGAGAAGACCCCAATTTTGACCATGAGCTTCTCCAGCTTCTCGGTGTTGGTGCCCCCTGTCTTCATGATCTTGCGGATGTGGAAGAGAGCCACGAAGCCCGTCAGGAGAAAGCTGGTGCCAAGCACCAGGTAGCAGGCCAGAGGCACAAGCACAAACCCTGTGAGCGCTGCTGCGTCCATGCTGGCCACATAGCATAGCCCGGTCAGCTCATCCCCTGCCACCTTGCGCAGGGTCAGGATGACAATGGTCTTGAGAGCTGGCAGGCCCCAGGCCGCCATGTGGAAGTAGCTGCCGTGGGCCTCGATGGCCTCGTGGCCCCATTTCTTGCCGGCTGCCAGGAACCAGGTGAGGGTCAGGACCACCCACCACAGCGAGCTGGCCATGCCAAAGTAATAGAGCAGCAGGAAGACGAGTGTGCAGCCCGTGTTCTCCAGGCCTTCCTGGATCACGTACAGCGCGCCCGCCTCCTGGTCACAAGCCACGCTCTGGGCTCCGGCCACGGCGCGGATCAGGAAAGCCAGCGAGTAGACGTTGTAGCACATGGACAGGAAAATGATGGGACGCTCAGGGTACTGGAAACGGTGAGGCTCCAGCAGGAAGGTGAGCACCGTGAAGGCAGTGGAGAAGAAGCACAATGCCGACCACACCGCCATCCAGACGAGCGCGAAGTCCTTGTCCCGCCGCGACCAGAACACCTCGACGCCCGGCCCGCAGCGCGGCGCGCATGAGCGACTCTTCTCTACGTACTGGAACTTCTCCGGGTTCTCGCAGCCGCCACCGCTGCCGCTGCCGCCGCCTTCCGACCCCGGAGCCCCGTCGCCAGCGGGCCGGGCGGGCCATGGCGCCACCGGCAACATGCCCCGGCCCTGGTGGGGCTCGGCGGGGCCGGCCGTGGCGTTCTCGGGCGCCTCCATGCAGAGCGCGTGCGGGTCGTTGCGCGTGGGCAGCTGCGCACAGTCCAGCGAGTCTGGCCAGCCGAAGTTGAATTGCTCCATGATGGGCGCGCAGCGGAGGCGCGCCTGCTCACACATGGGCCGGCAGGCAGGGATGGGCGTCGAGACCTGGTCGGTGCACATGGGTGCGTAGAGCGAGCACAGGAAGAAGCGCAGATGGCTGTGGCAGCCGTACTGCACCAGCGGCGCGAACTCGTCCAGCTTGGCGGCCGCCTCGCGCTGCGACTCGTGGCCCAGCAGATTGGGCATGCGGGTAAGGTTGTAGCCGATGCCGCGACACATAGGGATCTCCACCGCCTGGCACGGCGCCGGTCCGCGCCCGCGCTCCGGATCGAAGCGGCCAA